AGGGAAAAAATGAGGAGCTGATCCAGCGGCTTAAGTGGGGAGCAAATGTTTTGAGAATGATGAGGTCAATGAATGTACAAATGTGCTTTACACAATTGATGTATGTATGGATTGTGATAAGAGTTGTATGAGTCCCAATAAAATGATTTTTTAAAAAGGAGAGAAGCTGATCCCAAGGGCTCAATAGAAAGTAAATGTCTAGAAAAGAATGATAGCAATGTATGTACTAATATGTCTGATATAATTGATGTATGGATTATAACAAGAGATGTAAGAGCCCCCAATAAAACGATCTTTAAAAATAAATAAAATAAAGAGCTTTATATACAAAAATTAAATTAAATTAATTAAAAAACAATCCTCACAACTGGACCAAAATGGTTTGTCAAAATGCTTAATGTTTTTTCAAAATCCACAATAAAAGGAGAAAATGTTGCAGTCATTAAGCATATGATGTGACTTGGCTCCACCATCAGTGCCCATGAACACGGTAGAGAAAACATTAAATGACATAGGGCACTGGGAAAGTCTGCATCAAAAGGGTTCTTTATAGTATTTGAAAGAAAGATGTCACCTTCAAGCCTGAAGGTACACCTGACTAAAAGCTATGGCATTTAAATAACTTTGTATGCATATGAAAAGTGGACAATGAAAAAGAAGAATCATGACAAATTGATGCACTTGAATTATAGTGTTGGCCACGAATATTGAATATATATATGAACAAACATCTGTTTTAGAGGAAGTAGCCAGAATGTCCTTAGAAACCAAGATGGTGAGACTTCATCCCATGTACTCTGGACATGTCATCAGGAGATAGCAGATACCAGAATTCTGGAGAAGGCCATCAGGTTTGGTAAAGCAGAGGGTCAGTGCAAAAGAGGAAGAACCTTACCAAAATGGATCGACACAGTGGCTGCAACAATGGGTTCAAGGGTAACAAAGGATTGTGGGAAGGGCTTAGGAGCAGATAGTGTGGTTTCATTCTGTGGTACACAGGGTCACTCTGAGCCAGAGTTGACTCAAGGACAATTAGCAGCAATCTTTGTTGGAGGAAGCTATCGTGTGCATTGTGGAATATTTCACAGTATCATTGGTCTCTACCCACTAGATACCAGTAGCATTAGTCAGTCACTTTTGTAATAACAGAAAAGTGTTTCCACATTGCCAAAAGTCCCTTAAGGGAAAAATCCTTTGTTGTGAACAAGAAATCTGTGTGTGCAAATCTCTAAAACGAATGGATAATCAGAATGCTGGTGAACGCCTCATCATTGGAAATTCAAGGGAAATTGAGCGATAGTTTTAAAAAATTGAAGACAAAAAATTCCTAAAATATATTTAACACCCAAGAAAATAATCAAATCATGTGATAGTGGAAATACATTTTCAGATAGTCAAGCTTGGAATAAACTGATAAAAAATTCACCTTGCTTTTATTAAGTTATTGGTAAATGCTTTGCAAGAACTCAAGGAAGTAAGCCAAGGAAGGAGAAAATATAAGTCCAAAAATATAGAGGGCCATAAGATAAATTCCCAGGATTATGAGCCAGCTATTTAAATGGCATACAGGCAGTCTCTATTTAGAATGCATTTGACATATGATACCACTTTTACAATTTTTTTGCACATACTATCATTAGTAAAAGTACGCACACACAAACAGTCATAAATGTGGTGTCACACCTCAAATGTGCTCTAAATCCGTACTGGGTTACAATAACAAGTCTACCAACTATTCTTATATTTACAAGGATTTAATTTAGAATAATAGCACATGCTCTAAATAAGTCATACCAATTTTGAAAGAAATACTGAAGTGAGAAAAATATCATCCAGATAAAATATTGGTTCTAAGGAAAGACAAGAATATTTTTTAAACAAAACTACAGAAAGCAATATTTTCAATGCCACAAACATTTTTGCATAACAGAAAAAGTTTTAAACTTGAATTTCATCATTTACAACATGGCTAGATTCATAATGATAATAATGCAAAAAGTGGGAATACAAATTTCTCAACCATAAGATATCAGTGAACTAACTGGAGTGTAAGGAACTCGAAAACACGACTGAAAAAGAGCTGACCGAAGAAGACCCTAAGGAACACGACTGCCGTCTGTGGGCACATGTGAAACGGGAGGGGACGGCAAACCCTAGAAGAAGCATTCCCTACTTGCACAGGTAGAAATGACTCTAACTCTGATGGCGATCATAAGTACTAAGTCAGAGTATGTAAACTCTGTGAAGGGACGTCCTAGCATAGATAGATCATTATATGGTATTCTTAATCACATCAT